TTTCCCTTGAAGGGCCAAAACTGAAACTGAATTGTGGGCCACGGGCCAAAAGGAAGTGCCTGCTGTATTGTTGAGATGGTAGTAGGTAGTTGGTAGTTAGATCATAAATAATAATAAAAAATAATAATAAGGATTCTACATATTTAAAGCATTTTACCCCACAAAAACAGCATAAACAGTGATTTCTACTAAATATTTTTTGTATTGGATTTCATAATAAATGTAGCATAATAAACCTGTGCCACATGTAGCATTTCAAAGATAAATATTACGTCCAAATGAACTGTAATACTCTTGGTAGCATCAACTTTACTGCTGTAACACAGGAAGCAGTCATATGACTTTTGAAATCAATGTGTCCGTTTGTTTCATTTACTGAAGACAAAATGAACGTCAGCTGTGTTTTCCATCTCTCACTGCTCCACCGAGAAATAATTACTTATTTAATTGACTTATTAGTTGATCTGCAACTATTCTGATAATGGATTAGCAATCTTATATCAGTAAAAAGGTCAGATCTTCTCCAATTCCAGCTTCTCGGTTGTGAGTATTTGCCGTTTATTTTGTTTCATATCTTTGTGAGTTGAATATGTAGTACTGCTGGTTGGATAAAACAAGCAATTTGAACCTTTTTAGGTCAAAAAGGAAATATTTCATCCATCATTGCAACCCTAGTTCCCCTAGTTCCTAGTCTGAAATGTTACGCCATGTTTACTTGTTGTTGTTAACAACAATGAATGTAATGTTTTTTAGCCTTATAATCAGACTGAATAATGTTTCACTTCATTCATGTTAGCTGTTTACTTGTTGGAAAGCGTGCCGTTTTGTTTTGTTTTGGAAAATGATTAGATGGATAAACGATAAGAAATATGTAAATGTAAGAGATGTTATGTCGACAACCTTTACAGCAGTGTTAATCCGCACGTCACCATTTTTCTGCGACTGTTTAGCTATGAATATGTCATCCCATTCATTATCCCAGCTACTCTGATGAGTCGACTGTTTATCCAGCTGGTGGAAGCAGCCATTAACAGACACAACACCACCTATGGTGAATCTTCTTTTTGACACCTTTCAGTTTGCAGAGATTCAGAGGCCTGGAACCAGACCTTTGTGCCATAAAGCATCGGCAGACTCTTGCCCGTGACAGATAATGTAAAATAAAAATTACCGTTTACTTCGTTGAGTGATGACTTCAGCTTCAAAATGGCGTACAGATGTGTAAGACACACAGTGTGTGTTTGCCGTAGATGCATGACGATAGACATCATGCAGCTTTGCTAACCGCCACAGAAGAAACTTGTCATCTACATGCAGCCAGACACCACTTCCACCCAGACACACTGCTCTTCCCCAACAACTGTATTCTCATCAACTGGCCCACAGTGAAGTCAAGTGAAAGATGAGTGAGCTTCAAAAGAATCAGTGCATGAATAATTGAGGTTTTTTGGGTTAAAACTTTTATTGTAACTCCAGTTTTGCTGATTTTCATTTAACTTGGAGGCGACTTGTGGGTTGAGAAAAGAAATTCAATGACCACAGGTTTATGAAGATCTTTCCATCCTTGTTTTGTAGACACTAAGTTCTCACCCTTCATGCACTTTGAGTTTGTTCATTCAGAGAGTGGCAGTGCGTGACAAGGAGGGAAGTATTCAAACTTTAAATGTGAGGGGGTGTGATGAGACTGCCCTGCCCTTTACCGCTCCTCTTCTTTCTTCTCCTCTCCCCACCTTTTTTTATCAGAGCAGTGGTTTTATAAATGAGACTGAAACTTGCGTGTGTACAAATGCGGAAACTGTGAACAATTTAGAAAAATCTCAGTGTTGTCCTCTTAGCGATCACAGTATGACTGAGTCATATTAAAAGTGCTGATACATAAGGACAGATCCTACATTATGCAGCTGTGATGATTTTACACACACTATTATGATTCAGCTTGACACAAATTAAACAATTTTCCAATATGTTTATGTTGCAAAAACAAAATGAGAAAGAAGGACCCCCAAAAAAAGCCTGACAAATTGCTGCAGCTTGAAAAGCAGTCAGACGCAGTCACAACATTTCCATTGGTTAACCACTGGTTTCCCCCTCCCCCCCACCCTACAGACAGCCGGAGTGTATGATAGGGGGAAACAAAAACCTCTGAGATTTGTCATGAGTCACTGTGGTACATGCAAGGTTAACACGGCAAAAGCACGCATGTGTAGATAAACTGTGGTGGCTCTTCTGTCAGGCAAGAGCAGCCATCTGAGAGCTGGACAACAGCGATGGAACAGAAACACGCAAACACGCTATGTTTTTTAATTTAGTGTTTAATAAGTATTGTTGAGTTTTATCTAGTTATTTTATGTTACTCACCTGTCAGGTGGGAGACCTCTGGTGCTCAGATTTAGCTGTAAAGACCCCACTGGCCTATTTGCACAACCTCAAAATGGTAAGCAGGATACAGATCAGTAGGTTTCACTGGGTTTTTTTTTTCACACCCAGCAACCTGTTAAAAGAAATTCCCAGCACATGACATTTGATGCTTTTGTAAAGGCTCATCTAACAGAATTTACACAAATTATAGAGTATCAAACCTGTTATTATTTAAGTTTAATGAACATGAACACTTTGTTTTGAGTTTATCACAAATCCTCCTGCTGGAGCACCAACTGTGTATTTGTCCACTGTTTAAAATAGTTCCTTAACACATATACAGTTTACTCCTGTTTCAGTAACATTAACTAAAAACTACGGTGCCATATTCGTGAGCCATTTTGAAAGATTTACATCTTCATTAGGACTGAGTGCGGAGGGCCAAGTGCTTCAGACACGGTGGAGAAGAAAAAAAAATGAGGCATGGCCAGTGCAACTTGTTGGTCTTTTCTTGGGAAATACAAAATATTGTCAGCCTTTAAAATCTAGGCCCTGCTGCTTTCAGTAAAATTAAATGCTGTAAATACCACAGAAATAAAGACAAAAAATAACAGTATGGCTGACAAAGTAAAATCCTCTTCCCTGTACTCAGGTCAGGCAGTTGCGTGGACAGAAGACAGCCCCAAGGGTCAGCGGTGGAGGAAGTACCAACTACCAGGATCTCTGTCTAGCCAGCCCTGCCTCCGCAGAGGGGGACTACCTGAGCTCAGACGAGGACCTCCTCCCCAGCCCGCTGCCTGCCAGCGCCCTTTACCCCACTCTGTCCGGCCCGTGTCACACGTCTGCCCGGCTCGACAGCGAAGGCAGCACAGACAGCGAGGCAGAGGAGCGGGTGCGGACACATCCGGACCCACAGCAGCTGTACGGCAGCATGGTGTGCACCGAGGCGCTGGATAACTGAGACCTGGAGCAGGTGTGAAGGTTTCATTGGATTTGTTTGACCTAAAAAGATGCTGGAGCTCTACAGGACAGGACTACTACTGTAAACTGGGACTGTATTATCCAATCCAGTCCTCCTCCTTGGCTTTTCCAGTGTTTACCTTTAACTTGATGCAGACATAGTGGCATTGATTGGACCTCTTCTGATCATCACTAGCCATCGTGTTCGCTCCTCTTACTGTCTCTGCCACCTTGTTCCCCATACTGTCCGATCCTGTGTTCCCTGACGAAGAGGTCATGTAAAGCCTCTCTCCCTCTTGTTCCCATGTGTAACTGCGCCAGAAACTGTCCCGTCAAAATACATATCCATCCGAACACAAACATGACACACAAACAAACAAAATGGACTGAAACTGGACCAGTAAGAGTGTTGTTGCTGCTCGCTGCTCGAGATCGACCACTGGACCTGAATCTGTGACTGTGGACAAGGAGGGAAACGTGGGTAGACAGACCATCTCTTTCCTCTCCCTATAAACTGAGTAATAGACACTTGACACACTGTATGCTCTGTCTACCCTTATATAACTTCCTGATTGGTTCAGAGTTAAATACATCTTTATCCTCTCTTCTCCTTATCCTCTCAATAGGAAGACACACAAACACAAAAAAAAACGTCTATCAACCATCCGTTTTCCTCTCAGTAGACCAAGTGTTAATATAAAAGGTGGTGAGTATGAGAAGGAGAGGCGCAGTGGAGGAATATGTACACATCAAACTGTAGGGATATCACAAGATGGCATTCATTAATGAATCATGAACACTTTAACATACTAAATATGTGTGTTGTCTGTGTCTGTGGCTTGCAGATAACAAGAAGGCAAGAGTTAATACAATAGCTCATGTCAAAACATATTCACCATAACCCACAAAAAAAAGGAAGGAAGAAACTCGATGTTGCCAAATCTTTTGTTTTGTTTTTTAAAATTATTTATATGTTGTAATTTATTTTGATATTTTTTTTATTTTTTTATATATCTATATGAAACTATAGGACTGTAGAGATACCGACAGAGGCCAAACTTTCTACACCGTCCTTTGTGCCAACTAGTCGTCTGTTGCAGGTTCACTGTGACACTGAGTGTTTCAGAGACGGAAAATGTGCTGCTATGATTTTAGATTTACTTCTTCCATTTTGTTCTTTCTGTTATTTTTTTTTTTTTTTTAAATCTCAGAGAGTTGAAGATGCAACCTCCTATTAACTCTGCCATAGATTAGGTGAAAAAAAACTGAGCAGTTTAACTTGATTCCTCCCTGGAGCTTCTCAGCATTTCACAATGATGGGAACACTTTAGTTTTCTTCAGAAACCAAGCATTATTATTGTGTATGTGTGAGTTAAATGAATAGTTTGACATTTTAGGTTATATATTTATTGACTTTCTTGCTGAGGGTTACATGAGAAGATCAACATGACTAATGTTACAGCCAGGAGATAGTTATCTTAGCAGTGCGGTTACGTGCTAGATTATTTCTTGGCTGGGCATAGTGGCTTCCTGCACACACTCAAAACAAAGTCTAGCACGTAACTCTGCATTAAACCCCAATTTGTTTTTACACTTCAGTTTTTATACTCTTTTAAACTGTGGCCACAAGTGATGTAATGGTAAAAGTGAACTGAGTCAGTAATGTCAATTATAAATACCAATACAATGCCATATCTACCTTTGCTAACATTATAAGCTACTGGCCTTACTATGAGTTAGGTTGCAGCAGCTCCTAAAGCCACTGAGAGTGTTGAATTAAACAAGGGTTTGTTTTATTGCTGTTTTATTAATTGGTGAAATTTAGAGGTGGATTTTGTTACCTTCGGACAGAGCTAGGCTAGCTGCTTCCCTTTGTTTCCAGTCTTTATGCTAAGCTAACCAGTCCATCTCCTGGCTATAGCTTTATATTTAACAGGCAGACATGAGAGCGGTTTCTGTCCCCTCATTTAAGCAAGTAAGTGTATTTCCCAAAAATGTCAAACTATTCCTTTAATTATCAGTGTCCATTACAAGCAAGCAGAAATCCAGGTAACAGTGCTGATCTGGAGTCACCAGTTCACGTGCTCATATCACTATCTGACAGCTGAAACTGCAGCATGTGGGCCATTGAAAGTGGACTGAGTAGTTCACAATGTAAGAATGTCAACGAAAAGGCTGTCATCATTACCAGAGAGTGTGTGGGTGGAAAATATTTTACATATCAAACAACAATATATTCTGTGTAGAAAAAAAAACGGTGTAAAATGTATGGAGAAATATGAAATATACAGTGTGAGAGGAACAAAAATATATAGATAAGATTTAAAGCTGTATCACTGTCAGTCAAGTCTCACTGAAGATGGTGAGAAGTCTGAGTGTGTATAGTTTATCAAACAGGGTGTCAAATGAAGAGCAGTGATCTGCTTTTTGCACTACAGAGAAAGAGAAACTCTCTGCTCGCGACATTAGCAGTGAGAGATGGTGTGGATTAATGGATTCATATTACATTGAGCTCTTCAAAGAGAGCTTGACATTATCTGAGTACCTCGATCCAAGATTATCCATCCGCACTATTGTGCTGATTATTCTTCAGACTCATTTTGGAGGATTGTCTCTAAAGATCCACTTTCTGCTTCACAGTGCTACCTAACTTTTTCGTGCAATACAAATGAAGGAATGGGAAAGGAGATAATTATTGCCATCTTCTCAGAAATAAGGAAATTGGATGTTCCAGTTATGGCCATCAAAGAGCTAAAGAGGATGTCAGTTAGCCCACCAAACTGTTGCAAATAACAGCTTTTCAGTGGTCATTGGTGGGTGTAACAACTGAAATCAGTGTTTGGATATCGTCAGAGCAAATGAGTGTAAACCAAATGGTTTCAGTTGAGTTCCCTCTATTTCTTTATATATACAGAATTTAGACTGGCATCGGCTCTTCAAGTTATAATCCTTAAGATCAGACCTCACTGTTGATAATATTTCTGGTTGGAAATAGTTTACATTTACATTCTGTAATTACCTCTCTATAAAGTAGTCTTCATTGTTTCTGGTGGGGTCCAGTTTTGCCTTGTGGGATTTAAAGGACTTACAGGACTCAAGATAGATGCATGTACTGGACATGATGTGGAAGACAGAAGTTGGTGCATGTATGCTTTTTGTAATGCACAAGGCAAAAATGGATGAGTTCAGTTCAGTTCGGCAAAAAAACGTTGTTGACTGTCTTCTTTAAGGTGCCAGTATACTCAGTCAGAATTGCCAGACGGATGGTTGAATAGCTTTTGGAAACCCCCTCCGACCACACCGTCCTAACGTCGGATTGGGGGGACAATCTGACATTCGCAGCCCCCTCGTGCCCCGAGTGGCCTGCTGAGGTGAGGTGAGAAAATAAGATGGGTTGGAAATTAATTCTCGGCACAACAATTTCTGACACTTTTGATGTGTACATAATTTAAAAAAATATCGTGTCTCCCCCTCATTATGAAGTCTGGTCGTTCTGAACAGCTCGAAACACTCATGCCCTCCAACATGGTTGAAAAACACATTGTACGTACTACTTTTTGAGCATAACCTATTCTTCTGCGATAAATCCTCTCAGCCCATGATTTGTTTGGCTCTGCTGCAAACATATGGACATGTTGCAAACATGTTACACAACCACTAAGAGCATGTTTCAAACTGATCTCTGGGAGTTGTATTAATAAAACGCATTTACCACCACTAGCCACAGGTGTTTAACAGCTACTGAAATCATAAGGATTTTAAAATGCAAAGACGAATTGTAGGAATCTTTTCATTCAGGACTGAGTTTCCAAATTGATCCCTAATCTGGACCTAGATCAGTACTTCGTGTCCTTCATCGGTACATTGCTGTTCAGTGATGGTGCTGTTCACACCACTGTCTAAATACAACTCTATCTACTGTGACAAAACATTTTGATATGTTTGTAAATTACTTTTGAATATGGTACTAGCTCTCATCCTTAATATTATTTTTATAATTACCATCAGTACTTTGTTTTATCCTGCTAACAGCATTACATTAGATGATAATGATATTGTGCCATAAAAGTAGGTAGATTTACACACTATGCTAAATTATGTCATGTATGTTTAACGAGGGTTTCATCGACACGTCAGCTACTACAGCCCTTCATGAAACAGCCATGTAAGATAAAGTGAATTTTGTGTGGATTCAAATGTGATCACACTGTGTTGCTCCAGATTTATCATCTTGAAACTGGAACATCCACACATTTTCCCTGATTTACAGTTGGAAATAAGACAATACAGTGCAAAACAGTGTGTCACACGTGAGGTTTTTCCTCACAGACGGTAAGAAAAAAACAGACAGTGTTCATCCTGGTTAGTCTGGTGTAGGATTTCTCAAATTTATGTGCTGTATGTGACGGCTGTTTGATATCCACAGCATCATTCCCAGGAACCCTGTCCACCCTCTCTCTTTCTGTCTTGCAATTCAACTGATGTTGTTATCAAATATATTAAATGACAGTAAAGATTATATAAATTCCAGTATGATGGGGAAAAAATACATTTCAGTGTTCTGTATCCTATGAATGATACAAAATAAACTTTGACATTGCACCTTTGCAAAGGCCTGATTGTATTGTTATTGTTTGTTATGGGGTGATTTACTGCAGGTTGCAATTGTTCATAATCCTTTAGGTCCAGAGGCAACAGCAGTCAGTTTTGCACCAGCTCTTAATAACCTCATATTATTTTTAGTAGTCATGTGACACTTGATGATGGTATAGTGACTTCCTGTTCAATCATTGCTGGTAAATGACAAGTTTGAAACCAGCTAGTAGTCCCTTAGACTTTGTGTGTCTTTGCACATAAAATTAGAGATGGATTTCCATATAGGCTAGCTGATGCAACCCAATTCAAGAGCGCATTTGAAATTGTGTGCTGTAGATTTTTTTTATGCTGAGACAGCAGCAGTTTCCCACCGTAGTTTAATTTACTGAAACAGTTGGTGTTTTTAACAAACATTACTCAAACAGAAGTAAATAAATTTGTTGGAGACTCGTCAGCAGCGGATTAATACACATTCAGTCTTTTGTTAAGTATTTAAGGCAGCAGGATGGTGTACAGCACCCATGTTCATCATATTGAAGGAACATGCCACCCAGTGCAACACTGTGGCTCATTAATGTGTTTATAAGGACAGCTCCATGGCAGAAAGGAATATGCTTTATCAGGCTCTGGCTCACAGGAACTACTTTTTGTGTTAAAGTATTTGTTGACAATGAGAAAAATATATAATATGTCCAGTCGTATTGTAACAGTGACAGCAGTAAGCAGATGCATACAAAATGAAAACAGAAAATAGAAGCAACAAAAAAATAGGTTTCTCACATTTGTAACAGCCATACAAACATTTTCTCCTGCTGTGTCTCTTTCTCATTAATGAATGTTTTCATTTAATGCTATAAAAAGGCAAATCTGCTGTTGCATCAGCCAGCTTCTTTTTAGCTTGACCTCAATGGTCTATTTTGTAACACAGTGTCGACATAGTATGTCAACACTTTCTAAAGAATTTTCAGCACCGTTGTCCACCCTCTTCCTCCAACCTCCGCTTTATATGTCTTCCTTAGACTACTCTGATGCTGTGTTAAGTTTGTTCACCACTGTTGCATATCCATAATTTCCAGAGAAATGTTTTTTTCTTAAAGTAAAACTAGACAGATGTACTGCTGCTAGTGCGCAGTGTGTAGGTTTGTGTGAGGAAGCAGTGTGGTTGTCGACTCAAAGGTGTCAGAGCTAAAGCACTTCCTCGTCCTTCTTTACTCTCATCACACCGACCTGCAGACAACATCAGTGGCTCACAATCCAGCTCAGAGCAGACTGACCTCACATGTGACAAACTGACTCTACGTTGTCTAACTTGATATGAGACTTTTATATTAGTTTAATTATTAGTGTAAAGTTTGTGTGACGTTAAGAAGCACTTGTGGAATGTAAAAATCTGGTGAGTATTTGCATATTTATTTCTAATAACAATCTTCATGTTTCTGGTTGACTGAGAGCTACTACAGCTTTGGTTTGGTTTGCTGATGTGTATTTATTGGTTCTTTTTATTGATTCAAATGATAATCCTTTAGCTTTGTAATTATTTCCATGTGGCACATAGTGACACAAACATCACAGAAATGTCACATTTTTTGACTTTATGTAGTTTTACAGACACCAAACGCATTCCTGAAAAAATATTAAGTGTGTTCAGATTGAGCTACAGATTATGGATGTCGTGTTTGCTTGGTCATCCTTGAGATAAAGGATCTAGATTAGAATCCAAATTCAGCTGATTGGACTCACAGGCGCCTGTATGTCAAATACCACAGTTCACACGACATGCTCGAGCAAAAACAGAGCCAGAGAAGTCACGGTCGAAGTAAACCAGTGAATATTCATGAAATGAAAGGTCAGACCCACATTGACCTTTCCTTGAGCAGGCAGCCATCAATTCATTTTGAATGTGTCAATCTTATTCAATACCGGTTTGAACATGTCAAACTAATTTCAAGTCGCTCATAGCTGTTATAAAACTGACATATATTGCAGTCATAGGAGTTTCTTTTTTAAAAAACACATATATTTAGTGAATTATTGAAAAATAGTTCAACAAATGTATATGTTCGAACACATAGGAACAAGCACATACGGTGCAATAGTGTGCAATATAACAATACTTAATACAACACCTCAAAGTAAAACATCCGAGATTAAAAGAATAAACTTATAAGCGAATGTGCACATATTATCATCAACACGTATAACAATATACAGTCAACACAGAGATGGTCCGTTAACTGGTTTCAAAAAGTGGGTTATGCTACATTTTGTTTGTAATACAGAGATGTTAGTCTGTAGGTGTGTTTTTGTGGTTAGGTTGGATTCTAAGGAATTTTCTGAGATTACAACCATACACAGTTTAGGCCATGCAGGCAACTAGTACATTTACTTAAGTACTGTACTTAAGCACAATTTTGAGGTTATTATACGTACAGTATATAAGTAAAAAAAATCAGTGTCCTAATGACGCTTGAGTATTTCTATTTTATGCTGCTTTACTCTACATTACAGTGGGAAATATTGTACTTTTTTACCTTCTTTAAATGTATTTGACAGCTGTAGTTACTAGTTATTAGTTTTTTGGATTAAGATTTTGTATTTAAAAAGCTTATGAAATACAGTTAATTGTTAAAGATTAAATCAGTGGTGTCAAACTGTTTTTGATTCCTCACGTAGAAGCAATGTGTAGTCGGGGCATATTCATTGGTTGTTAATATTTTACCGCTAAACTTTTCAGAAGGTTTCATTTAAAAAAAACTGTTGCTCAGGAGGTAAACTTATCCATTATTTTACAAAGAAAGCAAAGATTAGAGAAAAGCCAAAATTATTTATACAGATTTGTGTTGCAGAGCTTTGATTTTTCCTCTTTCTTACCCCATTAATTTCACAACCCTTCAGATAGATCTCATGACCCTTTGCAGGGGCCTGACCCGTAGGTTTAAAACCGCTGGACTAAACTAGGTAACTGTATATAAAGTAGAACTGACAAGCTCCACCCCGACCAGCTACAACCGTAAAATGCTACTTATACATTCTTGCATCAGTTTGAACAATCTTATAATGTAATAAGATATCATTCACAGGAGCCATTTTACTGCAGCTTGAGCACAAGTATATTTACCTGATAATACTTCTGTACTTCAGTAGAATTTTTGAATTAATGCAGGTAAGTATTCTTAAATTGTTGTATTGGCACTTTCATTAAGTTTGAATACTGCCCTGAGGACTTCTCCCACCACCGCAGACAACCTTAAATGTGTAGACAGAATCTTTTAACCAGAAACCTTGAGTGGTCCCATAGACGATGAAATAACAGGCCTTTCTATGTTCCATAATGGATACATATCTCAGGAATATGGGCATTAAATAGATTTTTACAAGGTTGGTGTTATATAAACCTTTATTATCAGTTTATATTGGTAAGTGTTTATTGATTGTGTTTGAGTGGCTGAACAGATCTCTTGCCAATCCTCTGTAGTAACCTCGTTACTTGTCCTCACAGCACACAAGCCTTTTACTTTCTGAGGAGACCAGGGAACTGTCCATCAACATTTTATAAAAGTCCTCTCATGTTGTGATGGTTTACTGCTATCTTTTCGACAGAGTGGAGAGAAGAGGGATGTGTCTTAAATATATAGTTTCTTGTTTATTTTTATTCATTTATTAATGCTAAATGCATGCAACACTCGCCTCGTTTTTTGTTTTTTGCTATGTGGTTTAACACCTCATTGTGTTCTACTAACCCCTACTGCAGCTACACCTTTGCTCAAATGTTAACACTTACTCATGAAATATGTTGATGTTGAAATTCTGGTATGACTATTTGTGTCACACAGTCACAAACCAGGTTTGTAGGAATTTCTTATCCAAATGTCAATTTTAGTCAGATTTGCCTTTCATTTGCTTTCACCTGCTTTCACCTGCTTTTACCTGCGGTGTGAATGGAGGTTAACAGAAGCTCCAAAGACGGTTGAACCAGACCAAGGCAAACCACCTATCAAACCTTTAGTATCAAGCAAGGCTCTGCTGACAACAGGGCATGTGCCAGGCCACCCAGTGTGTGTCAAGCTGAATTTAACAGACTAACCAAGAAAAAAAAATTGTTTGGTCAGATGTGACAAAAACATAATAAAAAATGTTAATACCACACTTACACAGATTCAAGAAGGAAAAAAA